AAAAGCTAATTGATATGTCCGATCTTGAGAAAATCAAAAAAAGCTTGACCGGATACTTTTGTTAGGGTAGTGTATGTGACACAATAACAAGAAAGAAGAGCGAAAGATTTACTAAATAACACTCGGTTAAGGCTCACTGTTATAACAAATACATAATTAGCAGAACGACAGAGAAAATTAGTAGATGAGTATTTTATAGCAAGAGGCAAAGCTGAGTATTGTAGCGTTGACGCTACTGCTCATTAAAGTTACGATGGAGCGCAAAACGTTCATGTACCCAATTCCGATTAACAGGTAAGTAAGATTTTATTATTTCAATCCACGTAAATCGGTATTCAAGATAAAGCAGTGCACGAACAAATTAACAACGTGGCGACATTATTATTATTAATTATCGGAAATTTTTTAAATTCGATGTTACACAGAACCAGTTTAAATTCTCGAAAAAAGATTTCAGAAATCGTCTCACTTAAATAACCGACTTTCGGTAAACATCTACAAGTTTCCAATATTCCTATTATGGTCACGGCTGACATGGTGTGATCGGTACGAAATGCATTTTGTGCATTTTGGGGAGGCAGTCTCAGTAGACGAAGGGTTGCCCTCATTATAATGGCTGATATACCAGATTTTCTAAACGATACGAGCTTATTGCTACCAAATAGCCCTATCTCAATACCTTCAGACTCTTCTACACTTGTAATTCGCGAGACTATATCGAATGCATATAGAACAATAGCCGAGAAGATAGGACCTCATAATGAGAACCTCGATAGCGAGCCGTTTTTTTCCAAGAAAACGACTACGGCCTTGACTGATCTTGGTGGACCAGCAACTGTATACGCAGTGTTATATACTGGAAAATTGTTTACTAAAAGGGAGGATAAAGTGTCTAATAGCAGAGCACGAGGGTGTTGGGTGCTTGCTGGGAATGTGCTAGAACTTTTACTCGAAAGAAGGGAAGCGGGTGTCTCGGAACGTGAGGTGCTCTGGGAAGCTCTGCTTAAACCCTGGAAAATTGATAGCATAGAGAAGAGTGGTATGTGCGCATAATAGTAAAATTTTACACGTTACATGCTATTGAAATCGACGTGTATAATATTATAAACTCATTTGAACGTAGCGTTGGATATTGCAACTAGGGCAGAAGCGCGTCATTTCCTCGTCTTGCCAAGTGTTCAGTCATTTGTACAGGTGAGACAGTTGTTATATACTTGTCTGTACATCTTCTGGTCTTGTTAACTTGAACATTTGCCATGAACAGGCTTTATGGAAAACGGGTAGGAAAATATCTGATCCTATGTTAGTTGACTCACCACTTTCAACTAGAAAGGCCAAATTCAAGCGTATAACAGAGATTATAACTACCCCAAGGTATTGAATAGTTAAATCAACAGACTTACTTGGTCGAAACATTATCTGTTTTAACCGAGTTAACTTCTGTTTCCCTATTAACCTGCAGATTCCAGAATACGACGACAGTAATAATGAACTTTGCGTTCCTTGCATTATATACTTATGTCGTCAATTGCACAGACTACAAATCAGGTGCACCCAATATTTCAGAGTGGTCGCTTTATCTATGGGCATTTGGATTCCTTATTCAAGAGTTTAAAAAGGTACGAATAAATAATCCACAATTAATTAAGTTGGTTTCATTTTTTGTGTTTACGTATATGTTTACAATTTATTTTATGGCCCAAAACCCAACTATTATCTAGATGCGCGACATGAAGTCAATATATTTTAGAATACCGTCATCTTACATAACGCTGAGCTTCCCATCGATCCTCTTTTTTGCTTTCATAGCCCGCGCGTTTAACGTCACTTTCTCCGGACCAATGTTTCTTGAATTTGATTTACTTTCACTTACATCGTTACTATTATACGCCAACACTATAATCTGGCTCGACTCTAATAGAGCATGCGGAAAGACAGTAATCGTGTTTAACGCTATAATGAGCAGGAGTCTATGGTTCCTGCCACTTATTTTGGCGGTGACAATTGGAACAGGGCAAGCGATATGGTCCGCCGAGAAAGGCGGCGCAGCCGTTGAGTCAGTGTAAGTACAAATATCAATCGCATGACCGATCGCAAAGTATCAAAACAGGACCCTTATATCTAAACAATGTAAATGTATGCTTACCCCCCTAATAGGTTAATATTGTCAACTTTATCATCATCATTTACCGGAAGATTACTCATCGCTTACACTGTAATAGCTACGCTTTTATTAGTCAGCCTACTGATTGCGTCATTCTCAGCTTGCTATTACCAACTTGTTCCATCATTAGAAGCAGAGTATGCTCTTTATTTCACCCGGAAAGCTACTGGCTTATTCCACTCGGTATATGTTTTCCCACCACCATCCAACGTGATGCAAGTAATCATAAGAAAAGTGTCGCAACACGTGCTCCGCAAGAGGAACAGCATCGTATGGATTGAGCACATGATGTGGTGGATCATGTTCGCTGCATTTGTCATATGCGTGGTATCATGGGAGATAGTATTGAAAATGATAGGTCCAGTTAAGCGGGCGATGGCGAAATCTTACACCAAGTTGCGTACATGGATACACTGTTCTCCACAATCATCTTCTTTCTACCCTCCTTCCTCTACCCATTTTTCCTCATTTTTGCAAATCGAGCATCTCAAAGACGCCATAGAACCAGAAGAACGTGCACTTAATCGCGATCTACAGCTTGGCAAAATAGTCGACACTCTCCTTCGCATCGAAACCAAATTACACGAATTCGACTCTCGCATTGAAACGCTCGAACGTCTAAGCCAGGAACGGCATTTGAGCCTAGACACGAAACTTACCTCCCTTGAATCCGTCTCTCGTATTCAACATGGTACGCTAACCCACGTTAATCAAATGCAAGTAGATACCGTGGGTGCTGTTACAAAGGTTGAGAAGACTATCGTTGAGCGATTGAATAAGGTGGAAGATACACAGATAGAAGGGATCAAAAAATTGGAATATAAACAATTGGAAATCGAGAAGAAGATACGGGAGACTTTGCCGAAGATGATGGAGAAAGAAGTAGAAGTAGAAAAAAGGTTGGATATGGTCGAGCACGTAGTAGTCAGACATGATATTGACAATGAAACAGTAGATTGGTTTGGGCGAGCTATGTGACTTACAAACATTAAGTGTCTGGTAATCGTTTGAGTGTAATTGTAACTTGCGCAAGGGGAAACTTTTGGGTTAGTATTAGTTTGATATTTGGACGAGCGTGAGCGCTTTCAAATTTTGTTTTCAATGTTTTTCTTGTAACCTCCCTTCTCACCTTTTCTCACACTTCGCAAAACAAAATGAATAAAAATACCGTTGGCCTGTATTTTGATCACTTTACATACCCAAAGACAAATCGCATCTTTAAATATAAATTACAATTCTTATCGTCTAATCTAAATACCACACAAATATTATAATAAATAATATATCTCTTGCCACCGTGCCCATTCCCTCCAAATTTTCTCTTCCTCAAATGTTTTTTCTAGTGTCTTTCACTGTAGATTCAGGCTTAATTCCAAGAAATTTTTCTAATGCATCGTTGACTTTAATTTCGGCGTTTGCAAACCGTTCCTCCATTAATTTCGTAAAAGAAAATTTTTGAGGAGGTCCAGCAATGTGTATAGTTCCTTCGGTTTTCTGTTCATCTTGTGCAAACTGGTATGGATGGATCTCCACTCTAAGATTGGCCATTGAGCTAAATTACCGGTAAGACGTTTATAGCATTTACGTTAGTATTAGTATTAGATAATTCTAAAATATTCCGGCAGCTTTACCATAAGTAGAACTAATTATAATCTGTTTCTGATGAATGATCGCCGGACCAATAACAAATAAATCTCAATAACCTTATTATACAAGCAATAACTACTTACGTTGTAGCCATTGATGCACATACAGTCAAACAACTCTTGGGCATATTGTCTGCTTTACCATCCTCTTTCTCTTTCACCTGCTGCTTTTGATCATCAACGATCTCCGGGCTTACATAACAAAATATGCTCTTTCCGGCCCTCATCTTCTTCCGCGATAGAAATTCATATACCCTTACTCTTTCTGCCTCTTTTGTGGGAAAATCGGGTGATTCTACCTGAGCTACGTGAAGGAAAAAGCTATTGTCACCAACAAGAGGCACGTGCCAACCGATGATCAGAAACAGTCGATCAGTGAGGGCAAAGGATTCACTTTGGAGTTCGTACGTCAAAAGGCCTCGTGTGCCACATGTCATTGAAGACCTAAATGCTCTGTTGTGAAAGTGATGGTGACACCGAACGTAAGGTTTTGTAAGACTTAGTACACTGTTTACGGGACGAGTGTTTGAGACGCTTGAACGTTATTTTTTGTACGAAGCGTGTTTACAATAGTCGTCTTACCCTCAGTTATATCAGGCTCATTTTGTGGTTTCTTACAGTTACTCACCCTATTCCCCATTTCCCAGGAGAAATCGAAATGGTTGGAGCGTTGTAGCAGTCAGTCTCGCAATAGTATTCCATGTTCCTCAGATGATAGTGTTCATGGAAGTTCTCTATTGCAACTGTTATTCCTCTTGTGAGCTGCTTTCTGATTGTGCATATTGTTTGTAAAAGAGCCGCCGAATCTATTGACATTTTGTTGTTGAGCAGGGCAAATCGTAAGAATCGGTTGAGAACTGTTGTATGCGGGCGCTCTTTAGCAATAAACGTCAGCTCCAATTGGCTCTGTCAACTGTCACCCAATCAATTACTTTCTTATGAGAGATATTGTTTTACATACTGTTGAATATTGTTCAACGGGCATAATGTACCCATTATGTGATGCGGTTTAACAGGCTTGCGAATGTTCCCAATTGATAATACAAATATACTAATACGTAATTTAAGCACAATTAGCTCGTAACATTATGCCATATTTGTGCTTGCTGTGTTTGCAAGAATACAATTTGTAACTTCCGGAAGATGACTGTCCATAATAATAAAATCGCTCGCATTATTCTAATCCCACCTTCGGCTTCCGTTTCCTTCCCGGTTCGCGCTAACTTGTTAAATTCCCGCACCATAATGGGCGCTATTACGTTTTCTATAATATTCGTTTGCCGCAAAGGTCGTTGCATTGCGATTGGACAATGATATCAAATAATATTGTTGGTACTCAAATTCATTGGTAGACACTTGTTAAATTTTGGAACGAATTCAAGCATTCTTTTATTTGCTCCCTCAATCATGGTTCTTCGATTTTTCCGTTACTGGGCCACGGAATATCTCACTGAAAAGGTAAATACCCATCGTCGCTATAATTATCGTTTAAAAGTTCTACGATACTAACACCAGTATTATTATTTAGCTCCTTGAAAGTCCAGCCTTCCATCGCTTTGCTGCGAAAACGCATAGAAAAGTCTCTCAAATATCAAACAAAGGTACAACCTGTGTAGCAAGTTTACAAGAGTACGTCCAGTTCGAATCACTGATGTTGTGCTTTTTCATGATGACGTACAAAAGCATCTCCGTACGTGGATGAAGCAAGCAAACGTGCAAACATATTCGTAGAAAGCTTTAAAGAAAATCTCAGGAATGAAGCCCAAAAGAAGAATTGGCCAAAACTATAATTCGTTCTCAATCATTGAACTATCGGAATCGGCATTTCTAGATCTATGGGTCGTATACGTAATTTAATAAAATACAAACACATGCATACATTCCAACGTCAATACTTCTTTCTCTCCGGGTAAGGATGAATTCAATCCTCTCTTTTTAGTTATTCGCAAAAAATTCCGTCGTCATTAATCTGAAATTCAAAAATATCACAATCGCAAGCAGGCGTAACCATCCTTCCAAAGAACAATCCTTCTCTCCTCTTTTCCTCTCTTTCCTTTCTTCTGTTTCTAGACAGTTCGGCTATTCTTGTACCCTCTTCGTACTGTGGTAAAGGTTGTCGTGCTACGACAAAACGGTATTTTACAAACGACTGCCAGATATGGGAGAGCGTGTCTTTGTATACTAATTCGGGAGGGTATGCCGTCGAGAGGGAGTTATCCGAGATTAGGGACCAACTCGTAGTGAGGAGGATTAATCCATTAGCGAACAAGAGAGAGGAGAGAATATGTAGTGTTTGGGTAAGGTAGACAGAGGATGAGGTTGAGATTGAGTTACCGCGATAAGATTCCTCTGCGCGGTCTTGCCAATAAAAAGCCATTATAGAATCTATCATTATAAATGTGAATGTTTCCCGTGTTCTTTGTTGACAATGTTCGAGATATTCTTTCAAAGAATGTAAAGTAGCAATAAACTCTAACGGCGTTCGTGGGCTAAAAACATGTAACCTCCTCAAAGCATCCTTAGCAATTTCCGTAATTTCCTCTTCCGTTGGCACCCAGTCGTGACAACAATCTGCCTCTTTATCCTGAATTTCCGATTCTCCGCTGCTCTCTTCCGTATTGGACTCCTCAAAGCTCTTCTCGACCCTGCGTTTCAAATGTCTCACAATCCAATCATAAATTCTACTCACATCGAACCGCCCGTCTAAATCGAAGAATATTACACTTGTTCCGCGACCACCAATTTCGAATTTTCTTGTAATTTTTAACGATGGTCCCGATTCAATCTTGCTCTGTAGCCAGTAAGGAGGGAGTATAGTAGTTAAAGTTGTAAAATACAATATCGATGTTTTGCCACCATATGCGGGCCCACAGAACTCGACCACATCACCAGACGATAAGTAGGGATAATTATAGTCATGAGCCGACGCGAAAGGGGGTTCGTGAGAGGGTGGTGAATACGGAGGGGATGGGCTAAAACTAGGAGAAGAAATGGGAGAAGTGTGATAGGTTTCGTATGCTTGCATTAGACAAGCGTCGAAACAGGATAGATAAAAACATTCGAGAGGTATTGGCGTGGTATTCGGCATCTTATGAAACAAGCCATTTTAACGTGATGCGTGTGTTGTAAACAATATACTGTGACGTCATTACATGTAGATGCGCATAGCATTCTAATCAACCGCGCCAACTTTCGAAACTGAAAAATGTAGACCGATTATCTTTTTTCAGTCTTGAGTAATCCCAACGTCTTCTTTTCTATTGCCGAAATGAAGACGGCAATAATATTTAATTTCGCTGGCTTGGACGCATTTATAAAATGCTGCTCATTTGTCTGATCTAAAACTTGTCTTGGCGAAAGGATGTATCTACCAAGCCGAATATCAAACAAAACACGTAAGTTTTTATAAAGCGATCTGCAAACATTATTTGGCACATAACTTTCAATATTTGCCTTTTTGTCATAGAGACGAATTCATGAATTGCAACACATCTTTGGCTGCTGTTCGATGATATCTTACAGCTTTTGCAATTTCTACATTATCGTGTCCCAATTTTAAAGATGCAATTATGATTTTTTTGAAACCAGTTAAACCAAAGCGATCCGATATGGTACTAAAAATTATGGTTCATTCATTAAAGGGTTGAATTTCGATCGTGCAATAGTTTGGTATTCTCCTGTGGATATTGTTAAATGAAAGCATTTCTTTGTAAACACGGCCATACACAAGACATCTCGAGAACCCGATGTCTAGGCAAGGTATAGTTTCAATATATATGTTCCTGCTAAACTTAAAGAAATGAGAAATATGGAGGCGATAAAAATACACGAAATAAGACCTGTTATTCGGACTTTCCCTCGACGCTGATGGAAAAAATAGTGTTCAAATTATCATTATGACTTACTTTTTCAGCGGAACGGAACGTTATCCTGGATTTTACCGTATACCTCTTACAGTTACAATACAACGCAACGCGTCAATTCCGGTGGTGGTAATGTTACAACTATTGCGATCAATGACGAAGACAACTACAAAGTATCTGGAATAAGTTTTGTTCCTTGCATACATGTTTTGGTTATCGTGTAGCGATGCAAATGGAATAGTTCAAAACAATAACATATCTGATACTATAATTTAATAATAATGTATCACTAATACAAGGATAGCAGAATTATGGACGTCCAGAATCCAAAGTTAGAGGGAAATTCGGAAGACTTGTTAAGTCAGAAACAGTATGCCTCAAAGAATATATATATATATATATTGCAAGAACGGTTGGCCAACCAGATATTAGTAATTTATTCAAAAATAAAATTTTCCCGCGAGTACATGCAGCGATAACGTGTAGTGGTTTTTCAAAATATTAACGATATCAACATTATTTGACTATCATATATACAACTATCAGTGGATCAACTCGTATCCGTATTCCTTATTTCTCACCGCATCTTTCATTAATCGTCTTCCTCTCACAAATAAATAAGGCGCTCAGCATCAGGTAAATATTATATACACCCAATCATTGATATTTACAATTATACTTTCATTAATTTTTAGTTTTGTTTCCTGATAATGTTGTCAAGAACATTCTGCACATGATTTAATACTCCGTCCTGATGGTCGCGAGAAGTTTGCCCATTATCATCAGACATTGCGAGTTGTGACAATTGATTTGTAATGACGTCGAGAGCTTCCATTGTTTGGGATGCTTCGTCTGCTGCTTGAGTCTCTTTAGGAGAAGTTATCTCATATGACAAATAGTGACGGAGTATCTTGGTTATCTAAAATATAAAGACAACTTAAATTTTAGTACGCACGACGAGCAAACTATACAAAACAGCAAAAAAATGCTCACATGTAACACTTGTCGAAAGGCTTCTCGTTGTGCTAATGAATCCTGATCAGCTATCTCTTCGATATCCATAGTTGCAATTTCATTATTAGAGCCAGGGGACGTCAACATATTCTTCATTAATATGTTCAAACGAGATCGAGCAAGTGCCAACGGTGTCTTCGTAAACGTGTCATCAGTGTTTATCTTAGCGCCTATATATAACCATTCAAGTAAATTAATTATCTTCTATCAAGTGCAATAGACGCAGTAATCCAATAACTTTTACCTGCTTCCAACAGTAAAACTACACAATCAAGTTTACTTGCAATTACAGCTGCAAGAAGAACAAAGGGTTATCTGATACTCGATATAAACGTCGAACAAAAGCATAAGACCGCAAAGTGCAATAGTACCCAAATGTAGAGGTCGATTTCCAGCAACATCAGGCTCTGCGTTAACATTGGCCCCACGTTCAATCAACAGCTTCACCACACCCTCGTGTCCACTAGCGCATGCGAAGTGTAGAGGCGTTCTGCCTTTATCATCCGGCTTATTCAGATCCAGTGGTGGATTTGTTGTTATCAGGGAAGTCACTGTTACGAACGTGGGGATCGATTAGATTATCACCGCATCAGAATATTTCCTTTCTCCCACCCTCAGATCACTCACTAGCTTCCATATCACCGCGTGCAGCTGCCTCTCGAAGCCTCTTCTCTCGGAATTCCACTTCTAATGCGACCCGCAATCTCACTTTAATGACATTTTGGTGCTCTTTTGATATGCGAGGGTTAAGCGTTCTGTGCAGCAACAGCGTCTGCAGTGAACTGAAGTTATTGAGTCTGCGCGGAGTGTTTGGAGGTGTGGGGGCTGGTCGTGAAGGTACAAACCTACGAGATTCGTCCATTGGGAGAAGAAAGAACAGAAAACGAATGTAGAAATTCGGGGTTGTTCATACGGGGGTCTGTATGACAGACGCGTTGGGAACGTTTTTCCTACCACGGTTAAAAAAATAATACCCCACTTGTGCATTTTAAGTTAAAGTTTAATAATTAATAATTATATATAAGAGACAACGACTATAAAGGAATAGAATATGATGCATCATTACAAAGTAGATGCAGAATCCTAATCCCGTCTTACAGACTTTTTTAACTACTTCTTATATGCTTACAACTGTCTTTAATGCTTTGTAGAATGCTTCGGTATTTCTTCTAGTACGTGACTTCCAAGATAAGATTACTTTTACCACTATCATAATTACTGGATTTCCGAAACAGTTCTTATTAGCATTTTCAAACAAATACAGTCAACTCTGTTTATTATTATTATTATATCAGTCAGCCGGTATAATAGTAATGAGATTCCGGCATATTAAGATACGTGTATACCGGAAAAGTGTGATTTTCGGTATACCAATGCACAGCCACTCTCGATAGATATTCATACTAATACTGTATTATCGGAATATTATTACGAAGATCATATTTGAGTCACGTGGAACTCGATAACAATAAGTTTCTTTATTCAAAGAATTGTCGCTTCACGTAAAAATTTTTTACGTTTTAAAACTTTTCATCTGTGAAACAAACTGTTGGTTGTGTCGTCTAATGTAATTAGTCATTTACTTCGTGAACTGATTTGCCGGTTTTAACAGATTTTCAGGCTCATCGGGTTTATCATGTTTTTACTAATCATACTTTCATCATTCATATGCTTCGATTATTGCAAACGAATAAAAATTTATCAAAATTCTGATTACATAGTCACTCTCGATAAGTCGGACTCATCGGGGCGGAGATTTTATCCGACTTATCAAGAGATCCGACTTATCGAATTTCATAATATTTTATTAATAAAAGTGCTTTTATTTAAATATAAGAATATCAAATATT